GACAGCAGACGGCATCGCGGCTCTCGGGGCCCTGGGAGTTGACAGGGTGTGGGGTGGGTTGAATAGTCTGGCTTGGGGAACTGTGGAGGATGGGGCCTTTCAAGGGGAAGCAGATTTGAGGACATGATATTGAATTCACTTTGATGGATCCGTCTAGATGGCAGGCTCTGCTGCTCAGGAGGGATGAGGTGTCACAGTTAGGGACTTAGATTGGGGAGTGTCTGCCTGGTGCAGATATTTTGAGCCTGGGGGAGCAGAGTGTGTGTGTGTGTGTGTGTGTGTGTGTGTGTGTGTGTGTGTGTGGCAGGTGTCCCTTGAGACTTTGTCCCTGGGGCCTGTGGGGAGCAGCGAGGCTCTGCATCTCCGGGTCCCCTTTGCACTGCCTCTGTCTCCCTCTCTTAACCTCCTCTCTGTGTGTCTCCCCTTTCCTGATGGGCCTGGCTCCCCTCCTGACATCTCTGAGTGCTAGCTGCCCATCCCCTCCCTCTCAGCAGCTCTCTTGGCCTGGGCAGGTTCATACCAGGCTCATGGGGTGATAAGCTCAGCAAGTATTTGTGGAAGGGATGGGCAGGTAGCCTGAGTTTTTCGGGCGTGAGGCCCAAGGGTGGGGCAAGCACAGCTGTATCCCCCAGATCAGCATCTTGCCTTCCCATCAGGCTCAGCAGGGTGAGAGGGCCTCATCTGAGGAATTTTCGAGTCTTTGCAACTCCCTCTGCTTTTTTTTTTGTTTTGTTTTGTTCTCAAACTTTTATTCTAGCTATTTTCCTCAGATGCTTGGTGTTTTTTTTTTTTTTCTTTTTAGCTGCATGGCATGTGGGCTCTTGGTTCCCTGACCTGGGATCCAACCCATGTCCCCTGCATTGGAAGGCTATTCTTAACCACTGGACCACCAGGGAAGTCCCTATAACCCCCTTTAATGTCCAAAATACTGAGCCCGCCACCCCCCGCTCCACCCTCCTCATGACAGTAATGACATATTTTGTAGCTTTGATTGAAAAAAATAGATATGGATTTGAAGACCCCTGATGTTAACCCCACAGTCTGCATGTGGAGGTGGGATGGGGGTGCCCGGGCAGGAGGTGTCGGTCACAGCCCAGAGAGCAAGAGCAACTTGGTTGAGTAATTCTCTATGGGAACAGAGGCTGCCAGCAGGGTTGGGGGACCCAGGCTGGCTCCCCACTCTCCAGCTTCCTGCTCTTGCCATCTCTCTCCTCTGGATCAGAGCCCTGTTGCTCCTTGCTTGGACCCTGCTTGACTGGTTCTGTTGGTGAATTCTTGCTGAACATTGCCCCAGACCTAGCATTTTACTGGACTTTGCTCCCATCTCTTTATTTCTACTCATCTAAACAAACACTATGGGAAAGAAGACGAATTAGTAGAGAGTCTGATTTGAAGATGATTTTAAAACCAGTGCATTTCAGCCATATCCAGGGTTTCTGAATCAACAGCATTATCAGGATGACCAGGAGGAGCTGGTTTTAATTGATGGATATGAAGGATTGGCTTTTGACCACCATGATAATCACATGAAAAGAGGTTACTTTTAGTTTAAACATATTTGAGATGTTTTCCCCATTTTTCTTTCTGTCCTTTTCTTTTTTAAAAAAATTTTGGCAGCACTATACTAAATGTTGGCCCACTATAAGCATGTGGGATCTTAGTTCCCTGACCAGGGATGGAGTCCATGTGCCCTGCATCAGGAGTGTGGTCTTAACCCGTGAACCACCAGCGACATCCCTCTTTCCATTCCTGTTTTCTTCATGGAGATGCTATGGGAATCACAACAGCCTTCTTTTGTTATTTTCATGGCCCTTCTCCCTCCAGCTTCTGTTCTTGATTTCGCTTACACTGTCTACACATGTCACAAATGTGAGCTGCACATTGGTGTTGCCCTAGGTTCAGAGGTTGCGGTGATGGCGGAAGTGTCCTGGAGCCCCTGGAGATGAGCAGTTAGAGCTCACCCACAAGTGTCTGAGAGGAGCCTGAGGTTCGGGGCAGTGAGAGCCTGCAGCAGGGCTCATCACTAGGCTGGGGAAGGGCCCAGGGAAGGCGCCCCTTCCTGAGGTCTTTGAACCTAAGGATGAGTTAGTTTAGAATCCATGCAAAGGCTTGATTATCCATGCAGGGTTAGGTGAGGAAGCCAAGCAGGATTGCAGTCCCACCCAGTTGGTGAGGCTCAGCTTCCTTTTCTCTGGAAATCCGGCTGTAACTTTGACTCTGTGTCATTTGAGCTCCTGCAGCCCTGACGACTTGAATCATACTTTTTAGTACATGAGGGACAGGCTTCCTGCCTCTGAAACCATGGCCCAGCTCCTCCTCCTTCCTCTTGGAGTCCTGTTTCATCCGCAGTTGTCCGGGCCGGAATGTGTTCCTTAGAGTGGAGCCCACATCTTTCTTCTCTTCCCTGGAGGCCCAGAGGGTTCCTGGGCTGCAGGATTCAAGCTCGTGAAGGCTTGTTCGACTTGTGCACACTTGCCTCGGGGGCCTCTCCTATCGAAGCACTCAAAGCAAGAAAGGAAAAAAGAGATGAAAGACAGGGCTGGAATCTGCCATACAAAAATTAAACACAAATATAGCAGCAATACCACAGACAGAGCTAAAAGGCAAATAGGGGAAATATTTGCAAAAATGATAAACCTAAGGATGAATCTTCTCAACAAAGAAGGCAGACAATAAGAAAGACATGACGATACTTATAGACACTTCACAGATGAAATCCCAGTGGTCAAAATGTATTTGGCAAAAAATGTTGAACCTATCAGTAAACAGAAATAGAAATGAAAATAATATATTTTCACTTATCAACTTTGCAAGGTGAGAAAAAGATAATAGCCAATGTAGGGCCTGGATGTAGGGCAGTGGGCACCCTCATATAGTGCTGAAGGCCATGCTCATCATCAGTATAGCATCTGGAAGGCATTTTGGAACTGGGTCTAAAAGATCCTTAGAGATGCTCATTCTCCATCCACTAATTTTACTTCTGAGAATCTATCTGAGGAACGAATAATGACATGGGGAATGTCTCATGAAATCATGTTAAGCATCAAAACCAGGGCATACAAGTTATGTGATATATAATCCCACTTACAAAAATTATATATTTATGAATAAATATTTTCTTTGTGTGATTTGGGGGAGAATTTTTTTTATTTTTGGCCCTGCCCTGTAGTGTGTAGGATCTTAGTTCCCCCTTCAAAGTGAAAGTACAGAGTCCTAACCACTGGACCACCAGGGAATTCCTGGGAATTTCTTTCTTATGGGTGATTCTTAAGAACTGTTTTTATTTATGTATTTTTGGCTGTGTCGGGTCTCAGTTGTGGCATTTGGGCTCTTTCATTGTGGCACGCAGGCTTAGTTTCCCTTCTGCATGTGGGATCTTAGTTCCCTGACCAACTGGTATCCCTTGCATTGGAAGGCAGATTCTTAACCACTGGACTACCAGGGAAGTCCCTTATGCGTGATTTTTGATCATCATACTTTATATATTTTATATTTCTTGTATTTTCCATAATAAGCTTAAAAAGCTGAAGGTTTGGAGGGGTGTCTCTGTGAAATGTGTAGTGATGGACCCAAATAGATCCAGAAGTTAGCTTTAGGAGCATGCATACATGCTCAGTTGTGTCCGACTCTTTGAGACTCCATGGGCTGTAGCCCACCAGGATCCTCTGTCCATGGGATTTTCCATACGAGAATACTGGAATGGGTTGCCGTTTTCTCTTCCAGGGGTCTTCCCAATCCAGGGATGAACCCACGTCTCCTGAGTCTCTGGCACTGTGGGCAGATTCTTTACTGCCAAGACACCTGGGAAGTGCTCGCTTTAGGAGTCAAGGGTTCAGATCACTAGCGCAACCTGTCACTTTGCAAGATTAGGAAATACCTGATATGTGCACCAATATTCTCCATACGGTTGAGGACAGAGGTCACCAGCCCACGTGGTTGGCCCATTTGGTGGGTGAGAGCTCCTCCGGCCTTGCTATGCGGCACTGGGACAGCCTGCCTCTTGGCGGGCCTCTCAGTTTCCTGTCTGTACAATGGTAGGGTGGGAGGGGGTAAGGTTAATAACCTGGAAGGGTCTTGGCAGATCTCGGCTGAGGCGATAGCTCTGTTCTTGAAGAGAACTTTGACATTATCTGGCTACACAGCTGAGAGGGAGGGAGCGCTGGGATCTGCAGGTTCCAGCTCCTTACCTGCTGAGAGACCAGTGCACAGACCCCGTTACCTATTCACGGCCACCACATTGCCCTCCTTGGCCACCCTCTCTTCCCGTCACCCCTGGGCTCACTCAGCTAGTTTTCCTGCTCAGGCTTTATTGATTCCTAGTGTTTCTGCTCGGGAGAAGCAGGAAAGGGTGAACCCTGTGCTCTGGAGCTGTTTAGGGGAGGCATGAACTGAAGCGCCTTTGGGGAGCCCCGCCTGCCTGGTGACCACCTGTCTGCCCTGTGCCGGGCCCTCTCTATGGGACATTTTTGAGATGGTTTGGCTCTCAGGGACGAGCTACCCTGACGGCGTGAAGGCGTCGAGGCCGCTTCCAGGTGTGGGGCAGTCCCGCCCCCTCAGCCCACACTCACCTGTGGGCTGACGTTCACACACGCACCTGCTGCCCAGCCTTGATAAGGCCTCCTGTGCTCGAGTCCTTTCCCAGAAGCTGGGACGCTTTATGGTAATACTGTCTGGGCGCTCTGAAACTTTTGCTTTCAGGTGTGAGCAAGTTTCAGGGGCCTCCCTCCCAGCTGCCTTCTTAAGAGTGGGGCTGGCAGCTCCCTGGGAGGCTGATTCTCCTTCCGACCCAGGCATAAACTGGACTTCAGGCTTCCAGGAAGGCCGGTGAGCGAGGCTTCTGTCTCAGCCGCCTCCAGACTGTGGCATCTCCAGCCTCCCCTGGAATAGCAGGGCGGGTGTTGGGTGGGGGGCAGAGGCAGCCACCCTGGGCATGGTGGAGCTGGCCAGGAAGGGTGTCCCCAGAGACCCCGCCTTCCTGATGAGGGCCCGTTTCTCCTCAGCAACCAACAGATGCGTGGGAAGACAGCTTCTCTGAAGAAGAGCACCGAGAAGCTAGGTGGGGTCCAGAGAGCCCAAGACACCAGGTGAGGCCCATTTCCCAGTCAGACATATGTCCGATTGGAGGTGGGCAGCCCTTGGGAGGTGACCTGTAAGAAAGGGGGCCTTAAGGCTGTGTCAGGGGGTCAGTTTGGGCATAGGCTGCCCGGGGCCTCTTCCTCCCACCCCCAGGCCTAGCCAAGGGTGCTGGGACCTAGCAGAGTCTAGGCTTCTCGGGTTACCATCCTCCTCTCTGCCCATCTGTCCTCAGGCCAACCTGAACAGGGCAAAGGTTTGCGTTTCAGCAACCTCCCCCCCACCACCTCTGGCAGCTTTGGTAGCCTCCGTCAGGTCAGGCGAGTCTGCCCAGGGAGGCGGCTGCGAGGAGGGCAGTCCTGCCGGGATCATGGCCCATGGCCAGGCCCCAGAGCTGTGAGTCTGACGCCTCCACCCCACCCACTCCCCATACTGGGCCCCATCCCTGGCCTCCTGCTCATTCATCCTGGGCCTGCTCCTCAGCTTGTCCCTTGGGCAGAGAAACGGGAGGGGGTTTTTGACCCCCGGGGTGGTTGGCTCTAAGCATCCCTGGGAGGCGAGGCTCAGGTTGCCTATACCTTCTGGGGCTGGGGGGTGGCTGTGCACAGCTGACCCCTCCCCGTAGCAGGAGTGCCCTTGCCCAGGGCGAGCTCTGCGCTTGCTGTGCTCACCAGTTTGCTGTGGCCCCTGGAGACGAGCCCCGGTCTCCAATCTCTGCCCCAAGCTGGTGACTTGAGGCCAGGGCAGAACTGGCTCCAAGGATGCATGGGGCGGGGGGGGGGGGGGGGGGGCGGCGGGCAGGACTCGAGGTTCCTTGCCCCTGCAATGGCGTGTCTCCTTTGCAGTCTGTCCTGGCCAGAAGGCTTGAAGGGTGAAGATGTAAAGAAGTGTAGCGGAGAAGGGGTAAGTGTGTGGAGGCCAACTTCTTACTGCCTGCCGGGGGAGGGGGTCCTGGCTGCCTTGGTGACTGTTGGCTCTCTGGCCAGAGGCCTGTCACCAGGAAACCTGGGGGATGTCCCCTCCTGGGTGGGCGTCATGTCCCCTTCCTGTCATGGGCTGCCTCTTAAGACCCCATGTCGCCAGGAAACAAGCTGTGCTCAGAAGTCAGCCCTCCTCACCCACTGGCTGCTCAGCTGCTGCTTCACGGCTAAGACCCCGGAGGCCCCCCGCACCCTGTGGCCTTATTTCCTGGTGGCTGGAGCAGGACCCTCTGCTGGTATGATCTCCTGGGACTTCTCAGACCCAGCTCCTGTGTTTTGCAGACGCTACGGAGTAAATACAACCAGCAGTACCACAAGCTGTTTAAGGACATTCCCTTGGAGGAAGTGGTTCTCAAAGGTGAGCTGCCTCCCTGGGAGAGCGTGCCTCTCCCCCTGGAACCTCCAGGCACAAGTTCAGCCATGGGAACTGGCTGCCCTTTGAAGTGGTTGGTCTTTTTTCCTTCAGAAGTGTGAGAAGATTGGGCTGATTTGAGACATGAAGTTGACTTGTGAAGATTTTCTTGAATGTCAGGGCTTCCAAATCTCATTTCTGTTCTGCTCTTATCAGTGACTACTCTTTCCTGCCCTGACCTCTCAAGGAGTGTGTCAGAACATTTGCACGATCTAGGCCCTCTCTCCAGGAAAGAGCAGGGCAAGAGGTTCTGCCTATGGGGGTGAACATCCAGGTTGGGGGGACAGCGCAGAAACCCTGCAGAGCTTCTGGGGCATGGGTGGAGGAAGAGGAAGGATCTAGCAGTCTGGAGGGGCGGGCAGAGTAGTTCAGTTCAGTCACTCAGTCGTGTCCAACTCTTTGCAACCCCATGAATCGCAGCACGCCAGGCCTCCCTGTCCATCACCAACTCCCAGAGTCCACCCAAACCCATGTCCATTGAGTCAGTGATGCCATCCAGCCATCTCATCCTCTGTCGTCCCCTTCTCCTGCCCTCAATCTTTCTCAGCATCAGGGTCTTTTCAAATGAGTCAGCTCTTCGCATCAGGTGGCCAAAATACTGGTTTCAGCATCAACGTCAGTCCTTCCAATGAACACCCAGGACTGATCTCCTTCAGGATGGACTGGTTGGATCTCCTTGCAGTCCAAGGGATTCTCAGGAGTCTTCTCCAACACCACAGTTCAGAAGCATCAGTTCTTTGCGGCTCAGCTTTCTTTGTAGTCTAACTCTCTCATCCATACATGACTACTAGGGGTGGTCAGGATTCTCAGGAAAGGATGCGAGGGTGCTGAGGGAATGGGTGGTTGGGGCCTGGGATTGAGGAGGGGACTGAGGAGGAGAGTCCCCGAGGCTGGACTCTGGACTCTGAGTGGGAGGACCCAGGCCCTGGGGCTCCCGGCCGGGCCTTGCTCACGGCGGTCTCATTCGTGTGACTTCCCAGTGTGCTCCTGTGCCCTCCAGAGGGACCTGCTTCTCCAGGGCCGGCTCTACATCTCCCCCAACTGGCTCTGCTTCCATGCCAGCCTCTTCGGCAAGGATATCAAGGTAGTAAAAAGTGGTAAGGCCTCAGCCCGGGGAAGAGAAGCCCCCGGCCTGTGGGCACACCTCAAGTCAGACCTGTCCCTCTGCACTCTGGCGCTTGGTGAGGCCTCTCACTGCGAGGCATTCTACCCCGTGTCAGGGCAGTAGCCCCACCCCTTCCAAACCCGGCCCTGATTGAGACTCCACATCTGGCCTGAGCAGCCTGAAGAGCTCACTGCCGAGCTACTCTGCCTATGGGGTGCCTCATAAATGCCTTTAGAAACCGAGTGGGGTGTCACCCTTTCGGGGTCATAAAGTGGCCAGGTGGGGTGGCTCAGGGAACTCTTACTGGAGTATGGGATTCACCAGGGCGACCACCCGTGCCTCCTAGATGACGGAGTAAGAGCCTAGAGTGGACAGTGCTGCCTTGGGGTGGGAGATAACTGGAAGGGAGCCCACACGAGGTGGTGGGAGGTTCAGATACTCTCCCTTGTGGGCCAGACTTGTCCATGGTGCTCATGCTTGGCTCACTGCCAGATACGGCTGGGGCCCTAAGCGGGAAGCGGAGGGACTGTGTCCTCGGGGGTGAGTCCTGAGAGAAGCCTGCCTCTCCCCTCATCAGGTGGTCATTCCCGTAGTGTCTGTGCAAATGATCAAAAAACACAAGATGGCACGGCTCCTTCCCAATGGCCTGGCCATCACCACCAACACCAGCCAGAAGGTCAGTAAATTTCTGGGCCAGCGCTCCCTTGTCTGTCTCCCCATCCCAGCCCCAGGAGCCCAGAGCTTGGCCCTGGCACTCTCCCAGGTCTTTCTGTACCTCGCCCCTTTCTGTTTTCTGTATTCCAGTATGTCTTTGTGTCCCTGCTCTCCCGGGACAGTGTATACGACATGCTGAGAAGGGTCTGCACCCACCTACAGGTATGGAGCCTGGGGCAGGGCTGGGGCCCGGGACATTGCTCAGGGCTGCACTGAGGCCCTGGGACGTGGGTGCTGGGGGGAGGTCGGCCCATCTCTTGGGCACAGGGCACCGGGGCAGAGAGAGGGAGTAACAGACTCAGGCTCAGTGAATCAGAGGCAGTCCTTGGACCGGGTATCTATGCTGGGGAGCTTGTCTCTCTGAGGCCATCAGGCTGCTGTGTGTCCCATGTGCAGCCCTCACTTGTGCTTCCTCAGTGCAGACAGACAGGAGCGTGTGGCCACTTCAGCTCTCTCTGGCCTGTGCTGAGGAAGGGGGAGGGCAGCATGTGGGGGAGTGCATCCCCTTGGATTTGCCCTCTGCTTCAGCATTAACTAGGGATCCTCCCCGCAAACACTTTAGACTCCATCTGACCCAAGGGCTCACTTGGAGGTAAAGCTCTCTTGGAGAGTGTTCGTCCCTCCCCATGTCTGACTCTGGCTGCTCCGTGATGGACAGGTAACCCCTGTTCCCTTCTGTCGCCAGCCTTCAAGCAAGAAGAGTCTGTGTGTAAGAGAATTTCCAGAGGAACCTGAGTGCGAGTCTCTGGTGAGAACTAAGGCTGGGAGCAGAAGATGCTGGCCTGAGGTTGCCTGTGGCTTTGAGACTTCAGAGCCTCCCGGAGGGGGGCCGACAGTGCAGAACTGGGGCACCAGGCTCAAGAGCCAGTGGCATGCTGTGTCAGCGTGTCCCCAAGACCCACCCCCCTCCAAGCCATGCAGAGTCCTGGGCAGATTATGTTGACATTCTGAGCAGAACACATGCCCAGCCCCCGGAACTTGGCCCTGGTTGGACCCTGACACCTTAGTAGGTACAGGGCCAGCAACCCATCCTCTTCCCTTTAGTGGAGTCAGGAGGGCCTTCAAAGGGCTGATGTCCCTGAGATAGAGCTCTGAAGGCTATCATTCTAGAACACAGGCAGGCTGTAGATTTGCCGAGGTCCTGGCCCTTTCTTTTGTTCCTGGGATCCTGGGTAAGTAAAGTTTCTAGGGTAGGGGTTGGGGTGAGAGGATAGCAATGACCCCAGGGTGTTTTGAAGTCTCTGTCTGTAACCATTAAGTGTTTAGCCAAGCATGTGATATGCACAATGCCATGCAGGGGATGGAAGGCAATGTTCCCATTTTTATTGATGGGGACCTTATGTGCCCCTGCCAAGGGCAGTGATGTGCTCAGAGCCCAGATTAGCAGGAAGCACAACTTATTCCATCTAAGATAGCGAATGTGAGTTTGTGCCCGTCCAAATTCTTTTGACTCTCCTGGACTCAGCTGATCTGAGCACGCCCCTGGGTTGCCTCATGTCCTGGTTCTACACTAGCCGTCTTCAAAGACACTGTCCCCTGGAAGAGTGGCTGGTTACAGAAAGGGAGCAGATGAGAAATGTGATTGCTGTGGCTGTGGTTTCCCTGCTTCTGGGCATCTGCTTTCATGCTCGATAGGCATCCATACTGATAATATCCGGAAAGGCTTTGATAAACCTAGCGTGGATCCTTAGGGCAAGTGAGATCTCAAGGGCCAAGGTTAGACAGTATCTCCTGCCTTCTCTGCAGGAAGCCCTCATCCCTGAGATGAAGTGGAGGAAAGTGTGCCCTGCCTCCAGGTCCCTGTCCCTCCCAGACAGCATCCCTTGTATCTCTCGGGCATCCATGGAATCCACGGACAGCTTCTTCCCCTCCAAGAAGCCTCTGGGGTCTGGTGAGTTCAGCGTGCTTGTCCATGGCAACTGCTCGCAAAGACAAGGTTTTCCGTCCTCCCACTTCTGTGAAAAGAGGTCATCACAGCCAGGAGGGCTTCTCAGGGCAGTTTCTTTCTTTCTGCAAATCCATAAGGGAAAGCCAAGAGCTCAAGTGGCTTCAGAGAACAGGGGTTGGGGAGTGGGCTGGGGGCTTGCCTTCTGCCCCAGGACACTGCCGAATGCTGTCCTCTTGCAGAGACCTCCGACTGTGAGGAGGAGAAGCTGGAGGCGGGGCCCGCGGGCCACGGGGAGCTCAGGCTCTGGGATTACCGGCTCCTGACGGTCGTCTTCGTGCTGTAGGTGGCTGGAGAGTGGCGGGTGTGGGTGTGTGCTTGACCCGACCTGCCTGGGTGTCTGGGTGTCTGAAGCCGGAGGCTTGGTGTGTGGGGAAGTCGGCGTTCCGAGTGAGGGAGAAGGTTCTGAGTCAGCTGCAAGCTCCTGGGTGGCAGGGGTGGGCATGCAGCAGCCCCTTCCGGAGCAAGAGACAGCATCTCCGGTTTTTATTCCTTCAGACCTGTAATTTAGGGTTAAGGCTGTGGGGAAGGGGCAAAACATGAAACTATTGAAGAAAGAAAAGGTTGCAAAGGATTGGGGAGGGAGAGGGTCTGGCAACGTCTGAGAGGCCTGTCAGATAGACCAGGGGAGGGCCATGGCCTTCCCACTGTCCACCACTGGGGTGTTTTCTGGGACCCCAGGCTTGTCTGTCATTCGGCCTAATAGCTAGTAGAGCAGTGAGCTTGGTGGGGTGTTTTATGAACAGCCAGCAGCCTCTGGATTCCCTCGCCTTATCTCGGCACCTTCCTCTGGGCCTGCCGGCTGGTTGCCGACTGTCAACCTCAGCACTTGCCTCGGGGAAAGGCTACCACCTGAGGGGGTAATCTTAGTGGCCTCACAGAGGGGGTATGGGACCAAGGTGGCTGGTTAGAGGGAAGGTGGGCTCTGCTGAAGGACCCACAACTCTTGCTGGGCTTCAGGGACACTTCCATGGGGAAGAGTCTCAGGACCCCCTTGTGGCCTCTCGGAAGAAAGAGGCCCAGGTCTGAACGAAGCTGTAGGCAAAGTGTTCTTTAATTCCTCCGGTTGCAGGAACTAGCTTAGTCCCACTCCTGTGTTTGGTGATCCTGTAAAAAATGCCCCCTTTCTAGAAGAGAGACTCACCTCTTCCCTACCCCTCTTTCTCCAGGATCTGCTTCTTGGTCATGTCTTCATCCTACCTGGCGTTCCGCATCTCCCAGCTAGAACAGCAGTTATGTTCCCTGAATTGGGGCGGCTCGGTCCCTGGGCACAGGTGATGCCCCTTATCTTTCTCATGCTTCTGGGATTGAGGGTGAAGGACAGGAGCCAACACCCGTGGCCAGGCTCCTTGCTGGTCTGACTGGTCTTGGCCTTGCCCTTGAGCCGGTTTGTTGGCCATCTGCGAGGCTGGGCAGGGTATGCAGGGCGTACAGACCCCACCTTGACCCGCCCTCGTGGGCGGACCCACTGACTTGTCTGTCTGCCTTCTAGGCCCTTTGTCTGACCTGTGTGCTGTCTCTTCTGTGTGCAGGTAACAGCCTCTTGGCCTTTGACCCCAATCCTCCAAGAGGAGTGCTCTGGGTGCTAAGGTGCCACCACCGATGCCCTTGGTTTGTGCTGCCGCTGTGCTGAGACCGAGTCAGAAAGAAAATATTGCAGAATCCTTCTCCTCCCCACAGCTCTTCTCCCTCCTTAAATGAGTGGTCTGAAGTACCTGTTTACAAAACTCCTACAAATTTGGGACTCAGATGGAAAGCCAAGTTTCTGGAAATAGACAAGGAGTTCTGTACACTAAGCTTTAGCAGCCACTTATGTGAAAAAAAATTTTTTAACTTGCTCCTTGGAAACAGTTCTGACACAGAGGTAGAACATTTGGGGCCACTGCAAGAGACAAAGGCCATGCTCTGATACCAAGCACATGGCTCACTCCAGGGGTGGGACAGCGGCTGGAGCCCAAATTGGCAGCGTGGGCTCCACTCTCTCCCAGCAAACTGTGCTCTCACTTGGACCCCCCAAGAGTTCCTGTTCTGGGGCCCAAAGGGTTTCTCTGCAGGTGGCCAGGGGCCAATGCAGGGCAAACTGGAGGCAGTGAGGTGAGCTCTGAATGAGGAGAGGAGGGTCTGTGGCCAGGATTCTAGCCAGGGGCCTGTTCATGCTCTGTGCAGAGGCTCTGTTCTGACCCCTCTTGAGGAGGCTGGCTCGGTCTGGGAGCACACGACTTGCAGCAGGGGATGACGGCAGGGGCTGTGGAGATCAGAGGTCCAGCATTCTGTGTCCTCAGTTGCTGTTTCCTGGTGAGACAGGTGGAGAGGAGCTTTTCTGGTCACTGTGGTCACAGACCAGGTACTCGATCTTCCCCTCGTGTGCTCAGACATTTCCAAGGTGCCCCATGTGGGAAGTGGGGGATGGGAAGGGTAGTGGCTTTGATTTGAGGTCTTGCTTTGTACTCCCTGCTTCACTGCCTGGATTTTGGGCATGGCCAACGGCAGCCTGATGGGCTTGATGGTGCCTTGGGCCACCACAGGGCAGAGCTCACTATGTCACCTGCAGGAGGGTCCTCCACACCTTGGGCTCTGTTCTCCATGAGTAAGCTGGAGGTGTCCAAGGTGGGCCTTGACTGCCGGGACCAGGCCAAGGGGGTCTGTCTGATACCTTTGGAAGCAAGAGAGGTAGCAGACAGGAAGAATGGACATGGTGGCTTTGCCTTAGAGACTCCTCCTCCTCTCACAAGGTCTCCTTAATGCTACAAAACTTCTGTGCCTTAAAACTCTCCTGGGGCTCTGATCTGCTAAGACAGTGTCTTTGGAGGTGCTGGAAAGGCCTTAGTGAGGCGGCCAGATGTATCAGGGAAGGTCACTGGTGATGGGTGGGTGGGGTCAGAAATAGCCACTTTTCCCCCCTTCAGACACCTGAGAGGTTAACTGGGGGGGGGCGGGGGGTGGTGGTGCAGGGATCCTGGGGGAAATTATTTATTGTGGAGTGTAACTGTCCTGTTTATGACAAACCCAAATGAAGACTGGAGGGACTGACAGGAGGTGATAACTTCCTAAACTCAGGCTGGAAGTCTCTCCATCCCAGGTTCTAGGATCGGGCTCAGAGCCTGGCCTTGGGGGATACTTTCACTCAAGATGTATGTCTCAGGTAAAACTCATGGCTCCATTCTCCCTGCAGCACCATGCTGGATGGATGCCTGTTCTATTTGAGGAACCAGCTCCCTGTTTTCAGGGAAATAATCCTACTTGCCCCAACGCCTCCCCTCCCTGGTCCTTGCTGAAGGGCAGGGAGAACAGGTCCATTCTCTGAACCTTTCTGGGTTGAGCCAGAGGTCATGAGAGGTGCCAAGTCATGGGTGGCTATGCCAACATGATGGTGAACTAGCCTCCAGTCTCCATGCTCCGGGCTCAGAGAGGGCAAGAGGTGTGCAGTGGGGCAGGTGGCTTTGGAGGCCCTCTTGGGGTCCAGAACTTTGAGTGACTGTAGTGTGCCTGTCCCTCTGGAGGGCCCTCTGTTTCTTCCTTCTGTTCTCCAGCCTGTTCCTTTGGCCAGGGTGCCTTCTGTTGTGCTCATTTATAAACCATGTGTCTTTATGCAGACCTGCTTGCATTGGCAGATGCTTCTCTAATTCCTTGAGAATTTGGTTCAACTCTCCTTCAGTTGTTCCACTATGGCATTAAACTTTGAAAATATTTTAAAATAAAAATCTGATTTTTCTAATCCTGTGGTATGGAAAGTTCATTTTTAGGTTTTGACTACTCACTAAAGGTACTCTTACTGACATATTTGGCATTAAGGAGACTGACGGAACCCAAGTCATTCCCAGAATCCCAAATACTCTGCAGATCTCATGGGACTTTAGCTAAGCTGGCTCATACGTCAGGCGTAAGGAATGGTGTGGATGGTCACAGCACATAGCACAGTGTCCTGCCTTGGATGGGTGGACACTGAGAATGCTTCCCCATTTCTCCAAAGCAAGGTCCGTGGTTCGAACAGTACTGTGCTCCTGACTCAGGAATTACAAGTCGAACTCAGAGCGAGAAAACTCCTGTGTCCTTTTCTGTGATATCAAGCCCAGATTTCGGAGGTTGAAGTCCAATTTGGGAGACTTCCCTGGTCTCCACTGGTTAAGAATCTGCTTGCCAATGCAGAAGACACTAGTTTGATCCGTGGTCCAGGAAGATCCTACATGCCGCAGAGCAGCTAAGCCTATGCACCAGAACTTTTGAAGCCCAAGCACGCTTAGGGCCTGTGCTTCGCAGCAAGAGATACCACTGCATTGAGAAGCCTGTACACTGCAAGGAAGAGCAGCCCCCACTTGCAGCAACTAGAGAAAGCCCGTGTGCAGCAGTGAAGACCCAGCACGGCCAAAAATAAATATTAAATTAAAAAACAAATCCAATTTGGGCCACATCACCTTTCTCCTTGGGAGGCACCCCTCTAGCAGTGATCTGTTCCTTCAATAAATACGGAGCCCAGATTCTGAGCTAGTGCTAAACTAGGTGCTGAGGACAGAGCAGTGACCAGTCAGGCAGTATCGTTGTGTCCCCTGCGGCACTTGCATTCCACATAAACGTAAGTTCCAAGTAAATCATGAACAAACAAGGTAACTGCAGATTCTGATCATGTTCCATGAAGGAAAGAGACTGATATGAAATACAGTAAAAAGGGAGATGGCTTTAGATGAGTGGTCAAGAAATGTTCTCTGAGGTGAGATTTAAGTTGCTGCTGAAGGGATGAGGAGCCAGTCATGAAAAGGGCTGGGGAAAGAATGTTCCTGGCAAAGGGTTGGCAACTGTGAAAGGTAGGAGAGAAGTCATGTGTCTCTGAGGAGCAGAGACTATCTGCATGAATCTGGAATGGGAGACTGACATGCGAGACTGACATGAAAGAGGCTGGAGACGTCAACTTAGTGACCACAAAGCAACCGATTTAAAAGGCAGGAAAGGACCCGAACAGACATCTCAACATCGCTGTCACTAGGGAAATGCAAATCAAAATGCAAATCAAAACCACAGTTAGATACCACTTCATATCCATTAGGATGGCTACTAGTAAACAAAACAAAAAAATCCCTAAAAGCCTTAGTGAGGATGTGGAAAAACTGGAACCCTTATGCACTATTGATAGGAGGGTAAAAGGGTGCAGCCACTGTGGCAAAGAGTATAGCAGTTCTTCAAAAAATTAAAAGCAGAATTACCCTCTGAGCCAGTAATTCCATTTCTGTGTATATACCCACGAGAACTGAAAATACGAGCTTGAAGAGCTATCCGTACACCCATGTTCATAGCAGTGTTATTCACAATAAGCCAAAAGGTGGAAGCAGCCCAAGTATCTACTGACAGGAGAATGGATAACCAAAATATGGTACAGACACGCAATGCAGTATTATTCAGCCTTCCAAAGGAAGAAGACTTGACATGCAGTACAACATGGATGAACCTTGAGGACATTATGCTTAGTGAAGTAAGTCAATCACAAAAAGACAGGTACTGTATGATTCTACTTGTGTGAGGTACGTGTGGCAGTCCAGTTCATAGAAACAGGAAGCAGAATGGTGGTTGCCAGGAGCTACGGGGAAGGGAAATGGGAGTTATTGTTTAATGTGTATAGAGTTTCAGTTATGCAAGATAAACAGAATTCTCGAGATGGTGATGACTGTTACACAACAATGTGAATGTGAAACTTAAAAATGATTAAGATGATAAACTTTACGTGTATTTTACCACAATAAAAAAAATAGGAGGTTGGAGAGGTAGGCAGAAGGGAATTTCGATTTTATACATTCATGGGTATGGCAGCTCAGGTCTGAAAATTTGGCGCTGGTAGAGTCAGTGGTTACTGAAACCAAGGGCTTTCTTTTGCTAGAGGAAGTAAACCTGTGGATGCAATATGCAGAAAAATATGGCTGAATCTCTGTATGTGATCATACACCTCCTTTTCACTATTTCCGGGGAGTAGTTCATAGCATCTTCACAGTTGGGGGCATATCATCTTATATTTTTTCGGTTGAGCTAGGTTTATAAGGGGGAAACAACTGCCTTAAACTTGGACAAATGGAGGGAGATATATGTATATATAAAATTTTATGTGGGAACCTCAGTTTGCATCCTGGGCTTTAGTCAGATCAGGGAGAATCATGGGAGTAGGCAGAAGTTCTTGTGAAAAAGGCATTCAGGAGTGAGGAGGGCTCTGGGACAACTGCATCCCACCAGAGATATCCTGGGACTAAGGAAGTGCCCTCCCACTCCCAAGTGCCCATCCAGCCAGCCCCGGCCCTCTC